TTTTTTTTTTATGGGGTTTAGTTGATTTTGGCGACCTCTGATCAAAATTAAGCAATACTGTTGTGATGAGGATTTGGCAGTTTGATATGAACGGTTTTACTGATTTTGTGGCTATATATGTAGAGAGATATGCATTAATTTTCCTTTATTTATTTGCCCTGGGATTTTGGACATCTTTATCATGTTGCCTGTTTCCTCAAATCTCATCTTAGGTTTTCAGTTACCTTTTATTTTTTTTTTTAATTACTTTCTCCATAACTTGTGGATCTTTTTTTTTTTGTTTTTTTCTCCAAGAGGGCTTCTTTTCTCAACACGGATATTATATTACTTCTAGAAACAAGGTCTTATTTTTATCATACTTTATTCAGTTGAAGCTCATGTGCTTCTTGTTATTGATTTTTGCTTTTCCAGTAGCTGCTGCTTCTGCTGCTGCTCTGTAACTTTATTAAAGATGTTAAACAAAATAAATATATATATATATATATATGTGATGAAGAAGTCAATTGTGTTGCAAAACCACTGAACATACATCTTGACAGGTTTGAACAATTTGGAACCCAAGTAATTGATCCACAGTCCTTAATCTTGGTTTTCTCACTAGAGGAATAAACACAGTATACAACCCAAGATCTCATCAAATCCGATTTCTAATCAATATGATGATGTTCGAAGACATGGGCATGGGCTTCTGTGGCGACCTCGATTTCTTCTCCTCCCCTGCCCCCATGAAGGCGCCCGACACGTGCCAGATCCAGCCTCAGCCCGAGCCCGAGCCTGACCCAGCCGACGACGATGACTACACGGACGACGAGATCGGGCTCGACGAGCTCGAGCGACGGATGTGGCGAGACAAGATGCTCCACAAGCGTCTCAAGGAGACGAGCAAGGTGAAAGAATTGGGGCCCGACTCGGCCAAGCAGCGCCAGACCCAGGAGCAGGCCCGGCGCAAGAAGATGTCACGGGCCCATGACGGGATCCTCAAGTACATGCTGAAGATGATGGAAGTCTGCAAGGCCCAAGGGTTTGTGTACGGCATCATCCCCGAGAAGGGCAAGCCCGTGAGCGGTGCCTCCGACAACCTCCGCGAGTGGTGGAAGGATCGCGTCCGCTTCGACCGTAACGGCCCTGCAGCCATCGCCAAGTACGTTTCCAACCACCACGCTGGCGGCCCACGGCGGCCACACGAGTCGGCCCCTACACACCACACTTTGCAGGAGCTCCAGGACACGACCCTCGGCTCTCTCCTGTCGGCCCTCATGCCGCACTGCGACCCGCCTCAACGCCGATTTCCCCTGGAGAAAGGGGTCCCGCCGCCATGGTGGCCGACTGGGGAGGAGGAGTGGTGGAAGCAGCTCCCGGAACAGGGCGGGGGCCCGCCGCCTTATAAAAAGCCCCACGATTTGAAGAAGGCGTGGAAGGTTGCGGTATTGACTGCCGTCATCAAGCACATGTCCCCTGATATTGCCAAGATCCGGAAGCTCGTGCGCCAGTCGAAGGGGCTCCAGGACAAGATGACTGCCAAGGAGAGTGCCACATGGCTCACCATCGTTAACCAGGAGGAGGCCCTGGCCCGCGAGCTCTACCCCGACCGCTGCCCCCCTGATGGCACCGGCTTGTTCTCCCTCGATGATGCCGGAGAGTACGATGTCGAGCCGGCGGCCAATCAGGAGCAGAAGCCGGCCCCACTCAGCCTCCTAAATATCGGGATGGATAGTTTCGCGAGAAAGAGAAAGCCTGGGAATGAATTGAGTGAGATCCTGGACCACAAGATCTACACGTGTGAGTTTTTCCAGTGCCCGCAAAGCGAGGTTCAGCGCGGGTTTCACGACCGGGCCACGAGGGACAATCACCAGCTTTCTTGCCCTTACAATAAGCGTAGCTCCTCTTTCGGGGCTTTGAATTTTAGTGTGAGCGAGATGAAGCCTGTTGTTTTCCCTCAATCTTTTGTTTTCCAGCCGAAGCAGGTGAACACGAATCCAAACTTGATTGATTTAACGGGCCTAGGGGTTCCGGAGGACGGGCAGAAGAGGATCAGCGACCTTATGTCCTGCTATGATACTAATTCCCGCCCGGGAAACAAGATTTCAAATGATGCCCGGAAGAGTTGTTTAAAGGAGCAGTCTTTTCAGCAATGTGAACTGGCGATGGTTTTGGAGGGAAGCAATGTGTTCGACACCAACAAATGTAGTATGGCCGGTAACGATCACTCGTTTTTCCGCCCTGAAAATCGGTTGGATCAGTGTAGGGCTGTGAATCCTCCGCCACTAAGCACCGGGTCAAGTGAGACTTTCCAGTTTGGTTTTGGTCCACAACCATTCAATATGCCATCCATTGATTATGCAAACTGTTTTGATGGGTTCTCAAGCGATAATAACATGCCGAGGCAGGATGTTCCGATCTGGTACTAAGGAGAGATACTCGAAGCGTATACTACATTGTAAATCACCGAGGAAAAAACGCGCTCTCGAGCTTTCCCAGCGCCTTATACATACTGTCCTTGGTCAGTTGGATCCTTTTTACATCTGCTTTCATCTTACAGTAGTTAAATATGGTAAATTTTTCCTGCTTTGCCTGTGTAATAAACAAAGTGCATGGGGAAGTATATGCTCTCATATGGTCCCATCACAAGACAGTCTAACATGGCAGCCACCAGCTAAGGTTTGGTAGAAGGGACCATTTGTGGTGTCCAGTTGGCGCCTTGCTGTTGGTCTGCACTTGTTGACTGAGGAAGATGGTTTGTTTGTCTATTACATTAGTGTTTGTCTGGTTATGTCTGCGTGTGATTGCAGGACAGTATAGTAATTGTGGACGCGCAGATATGATTAAATTGAGGTCCCCATCACATGGGTTGGATTCTTGGAACACAGTCTTTGGTTTGTTCTTGAAAAGGCCCACTCAAGAAATGTGAACCCCCCACGGTTTTTCACTGTGTCCCAACTGTTATCGGTCAAAACTTTTTATAATAATATGCGGTTGAATGAATGTATTTCCGCCCTTGTGGTCCTACCCGGCTCGATTCCGGATTAGTCGGTTCCCATGTGGATCCGGAAACCGGAAGGTCCCTGTACCAAAATAAAAAAAAAAAGAAATTATAAATAGACAGTCCCACTCACCTGCAACGGTGGGCAGTGCCCACTAGTTTGTTTTATATGCCAAAATACGTTTTTTATATAAAACAAACTAGTGGGCACTGCCCACCGTGAGCAGGGGAATATATTTATATAAATAGAAATGTAACAATTGTTATGTAAAATTGATGTGATTTAAGTTAATAAAGAGGTTTGAGAGAAGTGGAATGAATGAATATTGCAAGATTTATAAAAACATTGAAATGCTTTTTTTTTTTTTCTTAGTTTATTTGATGTCCGTCGGTTCTAATATGGTATCAGAGCGGGTATGTCTTAGAATCTGCAATGACTCTCTCTATTCGGCCAAGAATGAGAAATCCGAGAATGAGTCACGTAGCTGAAACTTACACCGGGCCGAGTGCCAAAGATAGAGAAGAATAAATTTGGACCTAAGTTTATTGATGGAAATTTGAGTAAGATGAAAAATTATTTTAGATGAAAAATTTAGTTAGCAAACAAATTCCGACTGGGCTAAAATTTTACTGAGTACAACTGCATAACAGTATGTTCTCACTAAAAAGGGACATCGAAAAGCATCAGAATCAGGCCGTAAACAACAAATTTTATCTTGTCCCTCATGAATAATATTGTGTACAAATTTTTATCTTTCCGATATATTAACGTATCAAGTTAAATGTTAGTCAGTATAACGTACAAAAAATATAATTTTGCTTTCAACAGCTACCCCATGGCCTTCGTCCCAACAAAAGTATTAACCGTCAGATCACATGCCTCTATGTTGATCCGATTGCGACAAGAGCACCGCCCCATCGGAATTCGCCATATATATTTGTAGTTGGTGATATTTACCACCTCTTTTTCGACTTTCTTTCTTCTTGCCTCGAGTCGTCAAGTCAAGGGTATAATGGTAACACTGCATATGCAACTGTTTATGGGCTTCAAGGATCAGTGGCATACATCTACATGACCTCGAAGCACATTATTCTGGCAAAATAACATGCAAAGGGCATCTTATTATACTTGATCCCTCTTATAGTTATTCATCACCATCTCATCATGCAGTGTATCCAGTCATGCTTGTATTGAAAGAGGAAATTAATGTCCGTACATGTAAATATATATGCTATATTATACATAGATAGATAGATACCCGATCAGATAATTAATAAAGGTTTTCAATTAGGTGAATCTGGCCGATATACTGTTTATACATGTATATTTTTATTATAATAAAATGTTATATTTTAGAAAAATAATTAAACAAAAGTAAATATTTAATTATATAAATAAATATTTTTTAAATAGTACGAAAGTCCAACATGCATTAGACTGTATTTTGTTAGGTTGGTATAAACCAAAATATTGTATATTTATAATTCTCGATCAGATTACATATTTCTATTATTGTACTTCGATTGAACAAATTTTTAAGTATATTTAATAATGGGAAGGATGACGGGACCAACGGGAATTGGGCTCCTAATTTTTTTATTTAGAAAAACATTTGATGTATATCCTAAAATTTACATTTAATAAAATTTTAGTTTTTTTCTTTTTTTTTTTCTAAAAATTTATTAAAAGGTGCAATATAAAAATTATGTAGTTATTGTGTAAAAGTGGAATAACCACTATTAATTATGTTATCAAATTCTTGAAGTGTGTGCCCCAAATTTGTCTATAAATAGGCAAGGAGTCATTGTAATGCATATACGAAAATAAGGAGAAAGAAAGCAAGTAAAGCTTCTTGTAATTTGTATCCAGTTTTTATACATTGTGTTCTTTATATTCCCCGTATTTCATAACAGTAGTATGTAAAATTCTAACAATTTATCTTTACATATTTTTCATTAAAATTTGCACTTATATATCATGCGTTTTATTAATTCTATTATTATATGGAAGACTTTAATTTTTTTAAATGCTTCTAGGCTTTTTAACCAAACTATTTATGTTTAAATTAATTTTCATTTGTCAGTTCTATGATTTTTTTTTTTCTTTTTACTGTCGTGCACTTTTTATTTATACAATGAATTAAAAGTTATTACTAATACGTAAACTTCAAGTATTACTATTTGTATATGGTGAACAAGCTATCTTCTCTATCGTTTTGAAAA